ATAAGGAAAGTAACGGAGCTTGCAGGTGATGTCACCTCTCCAAGCTGGTCCTGTAGCATTCCTTTCTGCCATGCCCCATGTACCTGCTTGCTGGTCATCTTGGAGACCATGGTTCTCCTTAGGAGAAACTGCTTGTTGGGGTTTTTCATGACAAACCTGAAAGTGTTCTCTGAGCCTTGCTTTAGGTGCTTTGGAATAATGCTTGTCGACCCAAATAATGAGAATTTATGAGCTCACGAAGGAACTGTGCTTTTGTTTCTGCCTGGCCAACTTATGAATTTGTGTCTACCTCATTTTCCATATTAAAGTTTGCAGCTTCCTTAGGTAGGAAGAGAAAATGTCTGACAACAGTATTTTATCACCTCACTGCATCTATCTCTAGCAAAAATAAAGACTGTAAATATCACTACCGTACTTTCTGAATACAGTTTTGAGCAGCCAAGCCTAGTATTATCTGAATATTTTGAGCAGTACAGATTTCTATGTGTTTATATAATAAAGCATATTTATTTTTTCCATGTTATTTAATTTTATATACAATGTTTAAAAATCAGTGTTTATCAGCAAACTGTAAAGGCAAATAGGCTATGTGAATTAGAAATGCATGTGTATGTTTCTTTTGGTTTTAAAAGATACATTTTAATTTTGTAAATCCCCTCCAACTTGTACTGTCCCTCTCCCAAATCTGAGTGGCCAATTGGGGCAAGCTTTATGTAATTGGGTAGTTTAAAATGTGTATTTTAAAGGGATACTTAAAAAAAATTCTGAATTGGAAATGATGGCTTAGTGATATAAACAAAAATATACAAGGCTTAACGTTTTGTTGGGTTTTTTTCTTTTCTAATACTGTTGTCCTGATTCACTGAGTCTCAACTATGAAATATGAATGCTCCATTTATTGAATTTGTAGATAATGATAAAATATAGCCAGAAGACAAAACAAATGATTAAAAGAAATGGTTCTAAATATGTAAGAAGAGCTAGGGACAGGAAAACACTAACCTAATATGCACAAATTTGACCACACCTTATTCTTTGTGTTCAGATAACCATAAAAGACTTCAATGTTTGTCAGTTTTGTTATTTGTTCACCTGCAATACGTTTCAGAAAGAATTTCTTATTAAAAATAAAATATGATTGCAGCAAACTTGGAAGTTTTAAGAGAGCCTGCAGTTTTGAAAAAAGTGTACTTCATAAAGATGACCCCTGATGCCTATTGGTTCCATGTGCCCCTGCTGAGCCTCTGTTTGACGTGTGGTTTAGTATGGTAATTGAGGTTTGAAAGGACCGAAATCAGGGAGTCCTTATGTGAGTTTGAGGTTTATATAAGGTGTGAAATAAGATAACTCCTCCAAAGCAGATGACGATAGCTAACTTTTACAGAGTATTTACTACGTACCAAGCCAAGTTAAGCAAGCACACATATTTAGCCCCCATGTTACCCCATGAGGGTGGTGCTTTTATGAATCCATTTGACTATGTGATCATCTACTGTAATAAAATGTCAGGGTCAGTATACTGACTGTATTAATCCTGCTTCATGTGATAGAAACAGCCATATTCAGAATGATTTTTTAAACTCCTGTTGATATTCAATAAAGGGTATACCTAAAACTCAGACTTCATCAACCTCAACATTATTTAGCTAATATTGATATTGTCTGTTTGACTCCAGCCACAGAAATTCCAAATTTATTTCTGTATTGGTAAATTCTCATAACCAGTGATTATAAACACTTCAAACAACTGGTTATGTTTTTGGGAATGGCAAAACATCTCTGTTTCATTTTAATGTTATCACATTAGCCAGATTAGGAGGAGGATATAAAGATTTTGACCATAAGGAATATCACATTAAATGCATATGCATTTTTTATAAACAAGAGATTTTACTAATGAAGACACATCTTAAGTATACTGCTGGTGCCTTTTAAAAAAAGAAATAAGAAATACATTATTTGGCTCTATCAATATGGAGTATTAAAAATAAGACAGTTTTTTTTTTTTAATCAAAACAAGCAAAACACTGGCCTGCATCTATCTCATTGGAGATAAAACTTAGCTGGCTTTTTTGGTTTTTCATTGTTTACAGTGATTGTATGCCTATGGGAGACTCTGTTCCTGCCCCCGGACAGCTGATATTTCATGATAGCTTGACAGATTTTTATTTTTGCAGTTTTTAAAAGTCCAAAGGTGGGGGAAGAAGGGATAGGAGAGTTATTAGACCCTGAGGAGGAGTATAGGTCCTCTCAGTGACCCCCGTCAGCGAGTTGTCCTTCCGGAACGGGAAGGAATGGGAACTTTGGAATGTGGAGTGGGAGGTAGAGATTGAGTCCACCTCTAATTGGTTGGGAGGGAATCCTGATTAGTAAAGGCAGTCGAGGAAGATTTATTTTATGGAGAGGGAGTAAACGATTCTAGGTTATTCCTTTAAAAAAAAAGGGGGGGGGTGGTCATCATTTATTTTTCAGCAAATACTTTTTACATGCCAGCTGTGAGCCAGGCACTGTTCTAGGCGCTGAGGATACAGCAGTGAACAAGTCAGAGCGATACATTCAAGTGGAGAAGGAGAAAATATGGTATTAAACAAATAAAACCAATTACACATGTAATTAAAGAACTGACGCCTTTTTCTCTGGCAGCCTCATTACAATCACAAAAATAAAAATACAGATTGCTCTTAGAAGAACACACAGGGTTCCTAATGATCTTTGTTCACTAAATAAAAATTGTCACTCCTATCTTTCCTTTTAAATGTACAATTGCACAATCATTTTCAGGGATAAATGCTCCCTGGCTGGTGGCATGGAACTTTTAAAAACCTCCTATCAGAGAGTGTGCTTCTATTCACCCTTACGTTATAACCCAGACATGAGTTCAGTGGTCTGAGAGCCAGGGTAAGCAGAGGGCCTGGCTTTCCATCTCCCTGCTAGGGTTCTCAGCCTCCACACAAGCGTGGGAAGTCCTGGCTGAGGTTCATTTTCCCCTGTGTTATTTAATGATTACCAATAAAAAGATCTGGAATGTGTGGATTGCCACGTCACCACCTTTGCTTCTTGTTGTTTTATTTCCTCTAAAGTGGGATCATTTTCATGGGTGGTTTTAAAACCACAACTTCCCTTTCCAAAAATTTATAAAATGGAACATTGGCAGCCAAAAAAAGAGTGTGCTGGAAGTAGTGTGGAAAGTAATCAATACAGGCTGAGCCTACAAAACTATTATTCTTAGCCAGATCTGCATCCCCTTTCTCCTATTAGAAAGAGGATATGCCTTGGCCAATGCAGTCTGGTAACTTTCTACAATGATGGAAATGTTTTCTATTTTTTACTTTCCAGTATGGAAGCTACTAGCCCCATGTGGCTAATATGGAGCACTTGAAATGTGGCTAAGTGCAATAGGGATACTCCCCTTTGCATTGCGTTTCATTTTAATTACTCTAATTTAACCAGCCACCTGTGGCTGGTGGCTACCATATTGGACAGGGCAACCTCAGACAACAGTGCATCTTTAGCAATTAATACTCAACTAGCCAAGAAATCAATAAACTCATGAAAGTAAATTGGAGAGAAAAACCCTACGTCAGCTTGTAAAGAGTCCCGAGGTAGGATGCCCTTACATCCAAGTGAGTACCATTCTCCTGCTTTTCTTCTGTTGTGTGCCTTCTGCAGTGGGTGTTCTCTGACAGCTGGGCATTAGAAAAAACAGGACAGTGCAAAGAGAGCCTTATCAGAACCAGCTGTCCTGAGAGTAGTAACTCCAGGGCCTCCATGTAAAAGCAGCTGTTAAAACAACTCTCCTCTTGTGCGTCTTAGAGTTCAAGTTCATCGTGGCAGTAAGTTCAGTTAAGGAGAAAGAGTGTTTATGTGTTCAATGGGCCAAAAGGGCAAGGCTTGATTGATGCTTTTTAGGAGAAGACAAAAATGGGAAACACCAGGTAGTCACCTTGTAGAAACTTGGATTCCAAGAGATCATTCCCTTTTTGAAGGGAGTTTCAGGAGGGCAGCTTTTCATATTCACTGAGCCCTGTAGGTAAAGGTTGAGGAGATCAGCTTTAAGGGGCTGTGTTTGAAAGACACTTCAGAAGAATCAGGGTTGAGGCAATGTCCCCTCCATCACTGTGATTCTCATCATTTAGCTTGGCAAAACTTAGCCTCCTCAGTGTTAAGAAAGCCCTTATGGATTTACTCACATTCATGCCCCACACTGACACCCCCTTGAAATTAAAATATATGCAACAACATTGGCTGCAGATCAAATGATGATGTCATTAGTTCCCTTTTCCAGTGGCCAGATAGTTGTTGGTGGTGTTATTTTTCCCTTTAGGGTGACATCTGAATTAAACTCCAAACCATTCCGGTGGTCTCTTTTTTAAAAGCACTCATTAATTTGTTACGTTCACGCTCAGGTTGGCGGTACACTGAAATGGGAAATAAGTAAAATAATTCTCAGTATCTCAGACAGTGGATGAACTGATAGCTTCAGTTATCCACAAAAGAGCTGGGTTTTTTTCCTTCACTTAATTTTGCCCAATGTAATTCTTTCCATGATTATTGGGAGGGCTTTGATTTTGTAAATTATAACAATCACTTACATTTTGGAGCATTCACTTCTTGCTAGGAATTGTACAAAGCAATTCACCCATAATGTCTAATTTAATCCTCTCTACTTGATGAAGTTAGCACCATCAGAGAAGTTAACTAGTTGGGTCTAGGTCACACTGTTGAGAAGGGGCTGAGTTAGGCTTCGAACCTGGGACTTTCTGACTTTCAAGCCCCAAGTTTTACCCAAGATATAATCCCTTCATTTTACTCTTCATTGATGAAGTGGTAAAATGCAACCTTGGTGGAAAGAGGAAATTTAAGATTTTCTGCTCTCCCAAATTGTAACTATTTGAAACATTCTGGAATTCCTGAGCCATTAATAAGTTTGCTCAGAGCTCCGAAGGGATGAATATGAAAAAATTGTTTCTCTTAAAATTAAAACCAAGTAAAGAGCAAAATTTAGGTTTTTTAGGAGATTTTGAGAAAAAAAGCATCCCATATTTAATAGACACTCATTGGGTGGTATGTCTGACGTTTTAATATACAAAGAGAAATGAAATAACCTGGGGTAATAAATCTAAGTTTTTTGTTTGTTTGTTTGTTTTTTGTTCAGTGGATCTGTAGATAATCGGGACAATAGATCAGATTTTGTCGAAGCCAGATAGGGGATCTGCAGATGTTTGTGGTGATAAGGTGTGCTATAGAATATATAACCTGCTGCCCTACAAGTGAATAATGACATTAAAATTTATTAAAAAGTGAGTTCACCCTAAAAGCTCTCTGGCTGAAATAAAACCCATCAAATTCATTGAGATGTCTTCCAAACTGTTTCTTGAGCTAAAACTAAGCTCTTCTTTGGGCAATGCTGCATCTTCTCTGTTCCCATTGGTAGGACAGTCCACCACTTTGGGTTCTGTTCCTTTCTTCAGCCTTCATTGTCCCAACCACGTATTCCTCCATCCACATGGCAGGTGAAGGATAAGACTTGGCTATGGTTTGGGAACTGTGTGAGATAAAGAGAGGGAAAATATAATGGAAAAAACAGTGGGTTTGCTTTCTTCTTCTTAGCTAAAACAAAGGAAGAAATAGAGTCACCACATTTCAAGTGAAAACCTATTAACCAAATCACTTATTTAATTGCCCCAAACCTTAATCTCCTTTGGGCTGAACAGGCCCACTGTTTAAGCTTGTTGCCTTTACTCAAAGTGGGCATAGAATAAACAATATTAAGATGAATGAATGAATGGGCCCAGCTACTCAGGAGCTGAAATCCTGATTGCACTGGCCTAGAAATATGGATATAAAGCGCTAACCTGTATGAGGGAATATTTAAAAAGAAACACAGAGGATCAAATGTTGGTGGTGAATCAATAGTGACTTCCTGACCTGGAGAGTTGTATGGTATTTATGTAGAAGAGTGTCCTTGATTTGGGGAAAGTAGAGTTTTGGAGATGATGGGACCTTATGTCTACAAGCCACTCATATATACATATACACCATTATTATATAGGGAGGGAGGAATGAGCAAGTGTGGTAAAATGTTTGCAACTGGAAAACCTGGATAAGGGAGTTCTTTGTGATGATCTTGCAGTTTTTCTGTAGGTTTGATATATTTCAAAATAAGTTATTATTAAAATTTCTTAAAGAAACATAAATAGGTTCAGAGTGTGTATTTAACTTCAAAGGAAGTAAAGAGTAGGTCTGGATTTATTTCGGGACTTTAAAAATTCTGACATATTTTAGGAAGCTGTTTTCAATCTCAGATTTATACTATCACATCATAATAAAAGTGAGGGCTGCAGCCAGGGCTCAGCAAAAACAGAATCTTTCCTAGTTTTTCATTGGCTTCTTTCCCATGACTTTCTCTTCTCCTTGTCCCCATCTCCCTTCCTCCCTCAGCCTCCTCCCACCCATGCAGCTAAAATGAAAGACCCCTGGGAATGATGTGGGGTTTTTTCCTCCCCTCTCCCCAGGGAAACCCAGGCTTTCATTGCAAGCCTTGCCAGTAAATTCCAGTAAATACTTGGCTGTATGCAGACTCACCTTTTTTTTTTAATCTACTGCTCCCCAGTAAAGCCCGGATTCCTTTGAAAACTAAGAGGTTTTCTTTTCTTTTTTTCAAAAATGTGTGTTATTTTCCTTGCATCTAATAAAAAGCCTTCAACCAACCAACTCACATATTTCATTGCAATTTGAACTTTTTTTGGTGAAATCATGATTTCCTTCTCATTGATCGCCTCGTCATCAGTTGTGAAATATCCGGGAACCCCTTAGCGGTGGCAGGCCAGGGGCATGATGTCAGGGAGGAGGTGCCGTGCAGAAGAGCACGTTTGTTCATTGTCGTTGAGGTCTTCATTGCTGTGTGTGGGGATCGGGTTCACGTTGTACGTGTCACGTTCTCTAGAGACCAGGACTTCCCAACCCTTTTAGTCTGAGACTTTGATGGATGTTCAGCAGGCCCTTTACCACTTCCATCCACCAAAAAAAGCCTCTCTGGCCCCACCCCAACAAGTAAGTTAAAATCAATTCAGTTTTGAGAGCTTGTTGGACTTTCTGAAAACCTTAGGATAATTCTGTGGTTTTCAACTGGGGGTGATTTTTACCCCCCAGTGCACATTAGGCAATTTCTGGGGACAAATGTCACAAATAGATTAGGGGTGCTACTGAATTCCAATGGATGGAAGCCAGGGATGTCGATAAGCATCCTACAGTGCACAGCGTAGCCCCTAATAGCAAAGAATTATCTCACCCAAAATGTTGAAATAGTGCCGAGCTTGAGGAAGCCTGAAGAGACATCTGGTGAGGAGAGGGAGGACTCCTAATCAAAAGTCAAAGTTGAGGTCACAGTTGCAAGCCCCGTGGAATGATACTGTTTAGCTATCAGAAAACAATTCTCTCTGGAGAGTTGAATTTCCCATTAAATATTATGTTGGATTCCAGGAAGCCATCAAGGTCAAAGATTTTCAAGGCTGAGCTGAAAGTATGAGATCTCAAAGTTGCCTTACTGGACTGAATTTGCAAACCCACAAGCAGTGTCACTCACCCTTTTTCTGGAGGGGGGAGAAGGGGGTTGTTATAAATGTGTACAAATGTGTCCAATGTAATCCAGAGACATTCTGCGTGGCAAGTTCGGCTGGAGTGACCAACTTTGGAAAGAAAGGCATCAATGAGAATGGGTGTTTCTAAGAAAACAAGGGCTACTCCAACATGTTCATATATTTGGATTGTTCTGATAGCCCTGATAAGTTATATGTATTTGTTGCTTTTAGCTTTATGTTTCCAAGCAGTCCGTGTTTCCCTCGTCCATGATAGAATTTGTGCATATGTAATGGTCCAGCTAGATCGAGGAATTGGTGTCAGAGTTGAATATTTAGGTTTTTCTTCTGGATACTTTTTAAAGGCAGGATGAATTCCTAGTTTGCATTTTATCTGGGAAGTAGCAGACTGTGTTTTTGATTGGAGACTAAGGCAGTGGTACAGAAAGTATTTCATGGGTTGTAAATAGGTATGAATCAGGATATCCCAATCTCAGCACTGTTGACATTTGAGACCAGGTAATTCTTTGTTGGGGGGCTTGTCTGTGCCTTGTGTGATGTTTAACAGCAACCTTAACCTCTACCCACTGGATGCCAATAGTATATCCCCTTGGTTGTAATAACCAAAAATGTCTTTGAACATTGCCACATCCCCTGGGGGGGTCACATCACCTCCTCCCTGTAGTTCGATGGATTTCTTACAGCAGAACTTTTCTTTCCATATTCTAATGGGCATTAGGTGGGTATAGTCTGCAGCATTTCCTAAATGTGTTTGATACCAAATTCCCATTTTTTTTTTAAGTCAGAGAATTCTTTAAGGTTATAAAATTGTTCCTTTCTCCTTTCTGGGAAGATAAACTGTTATGTTGTAGAGATCGCCAGGTTTTCACCATCAATTCTCTCAATTATTTCCCACTTTTTTTTTAATCCTTAAGAGGAAGTCATACGTAGGTGATCAGTTTCTCCAGACATGTGGCATTAAATTGGCTTTTCAGTACATGAATTTCTGAGGAGGAAAGTTTCTGAAGCTCTACCTCTCCATACCTTCCCTTTCCCAGTTGGCAAATCTTTCCTGCTTTAGCAGGAGGCAAGTGCTATATATTTACCAACTGCAACCTCCACCGTGCACACACATATATGCCTTCAGAATAGCAGGCTTAGCTCTGAGAAGGGTGGGTTAGAGAACATTTGAGATGCTGCATCTCCTGGCCCTAGAATGAAAATCAATCTCAATACTTCTCTTTCCAAAAGGTCACTAACAATGACCCATAAACACTAGTGGTGACTCCAAAGCTCTTGGACCAGAGAAACCTATCAGTAGAGAAAAGGCAAGCAAAATAACCCCAAGACACTGTCATCAACCTCAGAAGTTTTATGGTAGGACCTAAGTGCTAATGAAATACCGGATTTGTCCCACAATGTTTAAAGTTTTTTTGATGGGAGACCAAAGAAAATGTTATTAGAAGGTAAGTAAGTACACTGGTGCCCAATTTAGAAGAGATGGTTCTCCATAAGGCAAATGAGTGCCACCTTCCGGAATTAACTGGAACCTTAAATTTCCAATGGACTAGCTATATAAAAAGCACTTTAAAATTAGAAATTGATTTTTGCCTTTTATCTAATTATAGCCTGAATTATAAGCCTAATTATAATTATATAATTTGACTGGAAGTGGAGAAACAATAGCAAAGACCCCCATTTACTGACCATTTCGGTGAGCCAAACCCTGGGCCTGAGGCTTTGTATGCATTATTGCTAACCCTCATGAAATCTTTGCAAAATCGCCCTTGTTATGTCCATTATGCAGGTAGGAAAACTGAGCTGTCAGAAGGCAATAAGTTTCCCAGCATCCTATGGTCAGAAATGCTTAAAGCCAGACCTGACTGACTCCCAAGCTCCATGCTTTCCCACTCCCTCTCCAGTAGGGCTTTCCAAATGTCTAGAAATACCGATTTTGATTTGTGACACATGAAAGAAACAAGGGGAAACCAAGTGGAAACCAGTTTAGTTCTCTGCTTTTTAAAAGCCACTAAAGCTGAGTCCTTAGTATCTGAGTGTTTTCCAAGGGTTTTCAGCCAGGTTCCTGGTTTTGTTTATTTTGCTTATCGAAGTGGGAGGTAGCTGCATATTTGTACTTTTAAACAGGACAATTTTAATGATTCACTTGGTTTTAAATAATTTTTAAAGGAACCCAGAAATTAGGCTTGGTCACCCAGGATTCCCCAACCAGTGCTCCGAAAGGACCTAGCTTCCCCCCATCATACCGCACCCTAGTGTGATGACAATTGCTACATTTTTAAGGAAAAGTCTGCTGGACTAAGAAAACTAGGTCTTTCTCGACACAACCTGATCCTAATACTTGGGTAAAAATTACCCCACTTAATAGAGAGGCTTGTGGTGGCTTGTTTGCAGAGAGTGTACAGGATGGTGGCAGTGAATCAAATTCACTCTACAGTTACAAAATCTCAGGCTTGATATTGGTTTTGCAGCTCTGGATATCCTATACTTTGAGAGCCTTTTCTTAAATGAAAGTAAAAAAAGAAAAAATCAGGATCAAACTGAGACACACTGTTTTAGAACAGCAGTGAGAGTCTTCAGTTTTTTGCTTTTAGATGTTTCCAGCCAGAATAGAGATAGAAAATACCCAACCTATGTAGAACCCATTCGTGTCCATACATTTCTTTATAGTTTATTTTCAGTCCATATATTTACATTTTTCCATCTGGGAAAAAGTATCATTCTAGGGTGACATCTTTGTGGGGGGAGAAACCACATTACATGACTCAAAGTCACACAGGGTATAGGATGGTCTCAATGGCTTAGAGCCAACTTTCAACAATAGTCTTGCCTTTGCAGGGCAGAATAGTATTCCGAGTTCCTAGCTTCTGTCATTTGCTGTCAATTTGCCTTATATTACATCTTCAGATAACCTTCCTTTTAGGTGTCCCCTGTGCAGTATTTAGTTCTGTAATTATGAATTAAATATTTAACCACAAGAGTACTTAGCCAGTTTTGGACTGAAAAGACACAGGAGATAGGAAAGAACAATAGTTATTTGGTCCCTACAATGAACTGAGCATTGTGCAGGATGCTTACTTAATCCTTAAAAATTCTTGTGAGATAAGTGGCTCTAGGTTCTTTGAGATGCTATTCATTCACTCATTCATGCATTGACTTGGGTATTCCATAAGTATTTGAATGTTTTCTGTAAGCCAGTCACTACTCTTGCCACTGGGGATACAGCAGTGGACAAAATTTCTTAGAGAAGAGGAATTAAAAAAAAAAGCATGGAAGAGGGGATGGGATGGGAACTGTACATTTAAGGAAGTCAGGGAAGTCTCCATTAAGAAGGTGACATTCGAACAGAGATAGGGGAAAATACAAAAGCAAGCCATGTGGATATCTAGAAGAGTATTCTGGGTTAAGACCCAGAGACAGGAGTATGCCAAGCACATCTTAGCAATAGCAAGGAGGCCAGTTTGGCTGAATTAGAGGGGGTGGATGGTAGGATATAAAATTAGAGGTGAAATTGAGGGAGAGGAACATGGGGGTAAATCATGGGATGGGGAAGGAAGGGTCAGGCTATTGGAAGGATTTTTGCTTACACACAATGAGGTAGGAAGCCATTGTGAGGAGGAAAGTTGAGTAGGAGCATGCATTTGTTTTAAAAGACTGACTCTGGCTTCTGAATTTAGAGAAAACTATGGGAAGCACAAAGGTAGAAACAGGGAGACCATTAGGAAACACCACTGCAATGAGTCAGATGGGAGAAGACCATGAGTGAGTGGGTCAGATGTTCACAGTGGAAGTGGTGAGAATTGGTGGGATTCTGATGTATTTTTAAAGAAGTACCTAAGGATTAGCTGAGAGTTGGGATATGGGGTGTGAGAGAAAGAGAGGAGTGGGAAGGACTCCAAATATTATGCACAGAATAAGCGGAAAGATGGAGTTTCCATTGACTGAAATGAAGAGGACTGACTATAGGAAGGAGGGGTTTGTGGAGGAGGACCAGGGCTTATGCTTTGGACATGTTAAGTTTGAGATGCTTATTCACCATCATTTCATGCCTCTGTTGAGCAGAACTGGAAAGAGAGGTTTGCCGTGGTTAAGCGTTTTGCGTAGAATCACAAAAGAAGAGATAGTACTGGTCAAACCCGGTCTGAATGATTCCAAAACCAAATTCATAACTACCACCTTCTTCTGCCCCAACCCTTGAGTTTCCATTTGAGTAGATCTCAGAATAGTGTAGGAATAATTTAAATTCACATATAACCATCAACCTAATTTTAGCCCCTTCTAATGCCAAGTCTTTCATGTTCTAACCATTTACATTTTAGCTGGTTTTATTTCTCATCTCATCCTTTCATAATGGCATTTTGAGCTATTTCTTTACCAAATGGTAAGCAGGAAGGGAAGACAAGAAAAGCCAGAAGGACGAATAGTGCCTCTTGACAGCAACTTGGTCCTATCTGAACTCCCAATAGAGCAATGCAAAGTTGGAGGATGAGCATCTAATTCAATAATGGTTAAGATAAGCTTTTTCCCTTCTGCTGAGATATATTTCTCTGGATACAGACTCAGATATGAATGCACATCTCAGTTTTTGAGTAGTATTCATATCCACCCAAAAGCAAACTAATTACATAAACTACTTCCTCCCAAAAAAGTTCTAAGTTTTTCAGTGTAAGATGTTTGACATGTTGGCATGTAAAGATGTTCCTTTCACACCAAACCAATGGAGGAAGGTCCAGTTATACAGAGAAAGCAAGACTGGAAGAGGCATTGTGTGAACTTTGTCCTGGTGTCTTTTCAATGACTGAAAGGCAGATAGACTAGTTGTTTGGGAAGAGGAAGAGGTTTAAGGGCTGGACATCAGTTGGGTAGATGAAAGTCCAGAGAGAACCCGCATGGATTGCTTCTCTATGGAGGCATTCCCAAAGGTGACTTCAGCTTCCCAGGTCTGTTTCTGACCGTCTGTGACACTAGTGTAAGTCATGAGGGGGTGTCCCCAAACATTGTCATCTCCTAGCAGAATGACATTTTCAGGCTGCCTCAGTCATGGTCTACCTTCAGAGTGCCAAGAAGTTCTGGTCACCCATCCCTCAACCATAGCTTTTCCACCAATTACTCAGATACTTCGTCACTCACCTTTGCAATAGCTGAGAATAAGGATCCTGGCACAAATATCTCACCCACTATCCCCCCGTCTTCCAGACTGCCTTCATGAACAATCCCGTGGCAAGCACAAAGGTTGGGTCCTTGTACCATCTTCACCTGAAAGATGCCAATATCATTATTCTGCTGAAGTCAGGTTATAAAGAATTAAAATAGTCAGTGTGCTTGAAAATGGGGAATCAGAGGGTATGTTAGGGACCACAGGGCCAGGTGATGTACTATGCCTCGGTTTCCAGGGGGCACCAGTGGATATGGCTGTGATAAAAATTCACCGGGTGTTGCTCTTGCAGATTGTCTTGGTTTTTGGTTTTTGTCTTGATGAGGAGAAGCATCGTAATATTTAATATTCTTGCAGAACAAAAAGAACCTCAATTTGGATTTCGCAACTTGCATAGTGAATTTCATATGCTGTTCTGTTTCATGTGAATATTCATGTCCCCTCCTCTCATATGAAGTTGTTTCATTATGAGGTAGGGAGGGGGTAGCTGCAGAGCCCTGTGCCTCATCATTCTTGGGGCGGATGGGGAGGCGGAGGGCATGAGCCCTTCCTACTGTGTCCCCGTATTGGCATGGCCCTGCCATCCCCCGTGTGGGGCATATGCAGGGCCACCTACTTGGCTGTCGTATTGACAGCAGCCTTCAAGCATGCTCCAAGCTCTGACATGTGACTCTTAGTGCCTTTTCTCCCATAGTCTTCGACCTTTGTAGTATTGCAGAGGCTGTCGGTGATGGGGGCGGTGGGGATGGAAGGGTGGCCTAACGCCCCATCCGGCTGGGATGACCGTGACTCCCGCATCTGCTTTCTTCCCTGGTGTTCCCTGCCAATCTCCTGCTTTCTCAGCTCCTTTTCATGGTAATAAGTGCCATGGTGGTCCTGGCCAGAAACAGCCATCAGGCAGACCTGTCAACATTGGCTTTACGCCCTGAAGTCACAGCCCTTGTTTGCTGGCAGAGCTCTTTCTCCCGCCCCAGTCATTCTGGTCCCCCGACACCCCCCGTCCGGAGCCATTCTTGTGTTGTGAGAAGCCCTCACTGTGCTCACACCCAGCAGGTCACAAAGGACTGTGACCACTGCCAAGGCGGAGCTCAGCAGAGCCGGGAAGGGAGGGCGCGGCTGTTCGGTAATGGTGGTCAGTGGTGTGGAGGCTGTGTTTCGGGACATTCAAGGACTAACCTCCCAAGAAGCAAATGAGAAACATAAGTAGTTCTTGAGATAATACGTGTGAGCAGGAAACGGTGGAGTAGGAAAAAGACGTGGCATTCGGATGTGGGGTCTTTCTTTTTCTTACTCGTCTTCCTGTCTTCTGTGGCCAGGGAGACCGTATTAATAAGAAATAGTTGAAAAGAGTGAAAAGGGCACTAAACAGGAGGAGTTGTCCACACTGATGTCTGCTGTGTGGATTGCTTTGGGACCTTTGCAAAGGAAAGCTCTTCCCCTGTTCACATGGGTGAGATTTTTGCCCAAGTCCCTCCTTCACTCAGCAAACGTCTATGTGAGAATGCTCATCTCAGAGACTCCATTAGTTAACCTGGATTTTTTAAAAAACTCTCCCCTTTCTATCCACGTGTTGGGAGATATTCTAAAAGACTCTGTTGAATAGAAATAGTAGTAATGGTGTTAGGGAACGTGTAATGATTTTTACACTGTTCGGCCGGAACACCAAGAGCTCTGACTGTGTGCAGTGTCCCACTTAATTGTGACGTGACTCTGTTGAGTGTCAACAGTGCCGTGGTCCCCATTTTACAGAGGACAAATCTGAGCTGAGAGAGGTTAAGTAATTTGCCCCAGATGGCACCAAAGTAAAATGGCAGACGGCGTGTCAGCCTAGGGGCGCCGGACTCCAAAACCTATGCCTTTAATTTGCGGTGGTTTAGAGCAAGGTGAAGACAAGCAGGGAGCTTTGTTTCCTGTGCGCCGCTCATGCATGTCCCACCCATTGGAATTTGTTCTTCACTGGTAGCTTGGAACGGGAGGTTGTTATCACTCACTCTTGTTCCTATGGGTATCTGCCATCCATCAAAGCCAGAGGTGGTAGAATCGACGCCTGCCTTGCTAGTCCCTGTTTATCATGCTAGCTCTCTGTGAGCATGACTGACCTGGGAAGAATCGGGGTGAATGGTTAGCCATGGTTCCTGAGCAACGTGAAGAACACCAGTACTTGGCCACAAGTCCCCAGGGGGATACGGTTCTGTGCTGGGTACAGGTATTCAGCATCCTAAGCCTGTGTTTACTTCTTCCTTGCTGTGTGACTGAGCTCGCCATGTCTCCTTTTCTCTAGTGTTGAATTTATAAGATAAATAGATGGACTGAGCCATCTTTGAGATGCCTTACAGCACAAACATTTGAGAGATTAGTCCTAGTGCATTGGCAGGTCCAAATCGACAACCCGCAGCCTTCCATTCATGACCATGCAAAGAGCTATTCATTGACCAGGGAACGGAAGCCGCCATTCGCCATGTGGCATCAGGCAGACCCCACAGGGTGAAGAAACCCTGAAAAATGGCCAGGAGAAAGTCAGGATGTGGCTGCAGCCAAAGGCAAATCTGGCCCTTTATTTATGTGATTGTATATTGGTACTCTAAGTGTCTTTCTTCCCAGCGTCCTAAAGATGCTGTGAAGAAAGTAATAAAGTCAGAAATATTAACATTGTACAGGTACTGTCTTCCTGAGGCACTGAGGCATCAGAGGCTTCTAGAATAGTCTCAAGAGACATTTCTTTGAGGTCCTTGCTTTTTTGTTGTTGCCTTGGGTAAGTCGGGGTAAGCATCTTGTTTTCTTAACCAAGCCCTTTCTTCAGTATAGTTTAAGGAAGAAAGTGGTGGTTCTGGAGCCCAGGAGGTACGGTATTTGAAGACTAACTCTGCTGCTCCCTGGCTTTGTGACCCTGAGCAAGTAATATCACCTCTTTGGTTCTCCTTATCTGGAAAAAGGAATCCTAATAGCATCTAAGTCACAGGGTTGCTGTTGGGATTAAATGACAGAAGCCGGTGTCCTTCAGCTTAGTTTTTCATTCAGAGTAAGGGCTCAATAGAAGGTAGCTGGTGTGAGTTCCAGTAGTTCTGTTCCAACTGAAAGAGGGGTCCTGGGGTGGCCTTTTTGAATCTCAAAAATGTGTGCCAAATCAGTTCAGCATTCACACTGTAGGTCAGATTCCGGGTGGTTCTTTCTTTGTGACATTTAGGAAAACACTACATTTGGTTTCTAGTACTCTTCTCTAATGGCTACGTATTTCATGTGTTCATTCACTTCCATAATTATTTGCTGGCTGCCTCCGGTGTGGAAGGCAGTACATAAACATGTGTGAGTGGCAGCTACTGTCTTTTTCCTAGGTGGCAAGCCCCGTGGTTTTCCAGCCCCCACACTGAGCCGTGTTGGGCGCTCTGATCCCCCAGTCTATGTCTTTGTGCTCTCATCCTGGCTTGTAGGGGAGAGTGTGTGCTGGCTGGTTTTGCCTCTCCTGATCATGTGATGCTCCTGCACACTCACTTCATTCATCACCGTAATTGGCAAAGGCAGTCCTGAACCTTGGCTGCAAGCCTCGCGTCCTTGATGACAGCCTGCTTTTCAGGCGAGGCTTGACTTTATGTTTTGGTAAACAAAAGCAAAATGAGAATAGAATCAGAAAGAGCTGCTGTTAGTAAAAGATGCAACCAAACATTTTTTTTAAATGCAGGGATTTGGATGTGACTTTCATATTTTACGGGATCACAAGGGCAAGGCAAATAAGGATTAGTACAGTGTCCTCTCTCAAAACTGAAATCTGCTCACCAGTCCCAGAGTGATGGTTAGCTACTTGATTGTCAAAAATCCTTCCAGCAGGAGAATCTTGACTTAATTTGGTAATGGCTTGCAGTGTATGTCCTTCTTCTTGGCCTTTCAGTTCTTCCTTATTCCTAACCTGCTGGCAGACAGTCCTGTGGTTGGAAATATGGACTAGTTGACCAGCATAGTATCCTCCATCACGCATGGCACATAAATGGAGTCTCATATGTTCTAGATCCCTTGGAGCTGGAAATCACCTAGATATACAGAACAGTGCCAGACATTCTCCTAGAGCTATTCTCCTAGACCATCCATTAACCCCTATGTAGCGAGCATCTGCTATACTGGGCAGCCCTGGTCTATACCCTGGCCCCTCTGTGGCTTCCTTTAAGCCCCAGCATCACCCAGCCCCATCGAGAAGCTTCCATCTGGCCAGATTCTGTGTGCATCCCTGACCTCCACCCTCCCTTTCTTATTCCTTCTTAGTTCCTTAGTTCCTAACCAGATACTCTCCCATCTTCATACGGATGTTCAGATTCGAAGCTGCCTTGGCAACCCAGGAGTCTCATTCTTTCTAGGTCCTCAGCCCTTCTTATGCAGGCAGACACACTGGGGTGGTTTGCTGGCTTCTTAATGTCTGAGAGACTACACCCCTCCATATAAGTGAAAGGACTGATGCAGGGCATCCCCAATGCCAGGGTCAGCACACCAGACCCTGAGGTTCACCATAACTAGAGCTACCACTCGAGAGAGAGAAGCCCTCAGTAGAGATTACGAGCAGGCTGCCCCCGCCTTGAGTGCCGTGTCCACCAGACGAGTTGAAGTGTGAGGATTTCAAGCTCTTAGACCTTAGTGGAAAGTGTTGAGGCAGCAGCTGAACAAAGCTTCACATTAAACATCCCCTGTGAATGGCCTCACAGAAACAAAAGCCCCAAAGCCCAGGCATTTGGGATACTGACCTTGATGTTTCTAAGTAGCAAGCAGAGATTACAGCACATTGTTGAGGAGTGTTGTGCAAAGCTGGGGGAAAAGTATTCTCTCAAGAAGGTTGGGTTGTTTCTCCAAAAGAACAAACATTAGAGTCCAATGGGCAACTTAGGAGGCTATTTCAGCTACACATTTAAGGACTTAAACATTCCACCGACCAAGACCCCTCAGATATGTGGCCAATAAATAGCCCATATTAGGTGATGCACTGAATTTAGCTGTCATATCTTAGTGGCACACATTGATGCAAAAGTCAGTGCCTGGAAAAGGCTGGAAATGACCAGATGGAAATTTCCCTCAGAATATAAGAGTTGCAACCTGTGTTTATTTGATTATCAAAATGACTTCTTTAGGAAATCATAACAGACCCACTAATGAACCTGTTAGATATGAAAATTTCCCCCAAGCAGCTGCTTCTCTTCACTGGTAAGTTAGAAGGCATGAAATGAGAAGTGGTTTTTATGATTAGTTACCTTGAGGATTTCCTTATCACTTTTAGATCTTAATTTTAGGCAAATAATATGTGTAGTGAGTCATGCTGAAGTATTGCATTCTTTTTTTTTCCAAGTTGGTTCCATTCAAATCCCCAAATAACTGGATTTTAAGGCATCAGATTTGGAATCTACTTCCTCCATTTTCATTTCACGGGCAATAGATGTTGGTTGCACAAGCCGTGCCTCTCGGATGAATTATTATCAGTGATGATGGTGATAATTGATCTGTTTTCCTTGTGCTGTTATTGTTCTCAATAGACATCTATCCGCTTGTGTTGGAATCATGGGGGGAGATGTATATAGAAAGCACTGTGGTTACGCCAGTTTGGAAACACCAGTTGTCTCCAATCCTAGTACCTATCTCTGTGGTTATTGGGATGATTAAATGAGACAATGCATGTACAGTCTTAGAGCAGTGCCTGGCCATGAATGAATGTGAGAATGCTGAGCCTTTTCTAATTCTGCCTCTGTAGATTGCTGCCTCCTTTTAGACTGTCCCTCTGATGCCACGGCAGATTACTGAATCGCCATTTCCATCAACTCTCTTCCCCCCCCCCCGCTTCATATTAAAGGATAGGTTGTTTGTACTACTTATATATTGAAATGACTATCCCTATGGGTCGATTTGCTGTAAGTTCACCCATGTTCCTCTGTTTCCAGGTATGCCTGTTTCTTCACCCTAATTAAGCCCGTTCGCACCCATGAATGCAGACCTTTTGAGTTCAGTCTGTTTCCTACAAATAAATATATCCTTGACTCCCAGTGCTGTTTCCCCATCCCTGTAAGTGTCATCACTATCCAGTTAGCCATACTGCAAACCTGAGAGTCCTTCCTGAGTCTGCCTTCTCCCCTGCACCCCACAGCTGATCCACCATTTCTCCCTCAAAAGAATATGTCTTAAATCCACCAACTTCCCCCACCCAGGCACTCTGCACCCTCTTTAGAATCACCATCACCGGGGCACCTGGGTGGCTCAGCCGGTTAAGCATCTGACTCTTGATATTGGCTCAGGTCATGGTTTCAGGGTTGTGAGATCAAGCCCTACATCAGATTCTGCACTGGGCATGGAGCCTGCTTAAAATTCTCTCTCCCTTACCCTCTGCCCCTCCCCACTTCTCTTTTCCTCTAAAAAAAAAGAAAAGAAAAGAAACACCATCATCTCTTGCTTGGACCAATGCAGTAGCTACCTGAGCAGTTTTATTGTTTCCATTCATGCTGTATTCCTATCCATTGTCCACTCAGCAGTCAGGGTAGAATTATTGAAGCAAACATCAGACCATATTTTGCCCTGATTTAAAACTCAGTAGTGCTTTCCAAATCTAGATAGATGATTAGGACCTGTGAGCTCTGCATGGTCTGGCCTCGGGAGCCCTCCTGCAACCCCTGCAGCTTGTTTCCCCCAGAGCACTCCTCTCCGTTACTAAGCACACGTTTATTTTTGTCAACATGTGGTTGATGTTGGTCTCCCTCACTGGCCTGGAAGATCCATGAGGGCGGGGCACAGTCGGATTTGCTCTTCACTATGTTCCCAGCCCTTTGCATATATTTTGAAACATATAGTAGGCACTGAAATGTTTGTTGAATGAACAAATGAATTCATCCTAAATTCAAATTATGCCCCTTTGTTATCTGTCAAAGTAAAGTTTCTGAATATTAAAATTAGTCACTAACAGTAGAGATTATTCTGTATAAGTTTCTGAATATTAAAATTAGTCACTAACAGTAGAGATTATTCTGTATGCAAGTCCTTAGACCATTGGTTTGTAGGAATATTTCTAGGAGCTTTATATTATTATTTTTTTAATTTTATTTATATATTTGAGAGAGAGAGAGTGAGAGAGAGCACGAGTGGGGGGATAAGGGCAGATGGAGAAGGAGAAGCAGACTCCCTGCTAAGCAGGGAGCCTGAAGTGGGGCTTGATCCCAAGACCCTGTGATCACGACCTAAACCGAAGATGGACACTTAACCAGTGAGCCACCCAGGTGTCCCTAGGAGCTTCATTCTAAAAACCTTCCAGAATTATGTCCCAAGGTATTATATACATGAAAGCATTGTAGGTTGAAAGATGGTTGTTTTTGTTTTGGTATAAATATTTAAATTGGTCTCCTTCCTTCTACACTGTGTACTCTATTAAGATTTCCAGGGGAACCTGGGTGGCGCAGTCAGTTGAGCATTTGACTCTTGGTTTTGGCTCAGGTTGTGATCTCTGGGTCATGAGATCGAGCCTCACATCAGGCTCCGTGCTCTCCCTCATGTCAGGCTCCGTGCTCTCAGTGCAAAGTCTGCTTAAGACTTTCTGTCTCTTTCCCTCTGTCCCTTTGCCCCCTCCCCACGCTCTCTCTCACAAATAAATAAATAAATTACTCTTAAAAAAAAATTTCCAGAATGACAACTCCAAATCATAATACTCTCATAAGATAGAGCTCAAATGCAACTGGCAATGTTTCCATTTCCTGATGTAAAAAGTCACAGCTAAACCTATTAATATACATTTTGCAAAATCATCTACTAGCTACTATTGAAATGTTTGTAATGATTTGTGCTTATTGCAGAAAGATGTCTGGCACATTTATGAACGATAGAACTTTGAACATGCTTGGTAACAGCAGTTGGATTAATATTCGGCTCCGTGTTTTACGGGGCGCTATTTATCTATGGGGCATAAAAGGGCACTTTGGTAATTTAAGTTAACAAAATCACAGAGTTAGTGAGGGAAATAAGAAATATTGAATAGAAGGAAATGACACTTGAAATCTGTTTTCATTGCATTTTCACATTTTGTTCTTCATTCTGAAACTCATTTCCCTCTAAAAGTCAAGAACGTTATATTGGGAAATAATGTGTCTTGAAAACCTGAGCCAGCAAGCTTATGATCCGAGTGGTAATGACTTCTGTAATCGCTAATGAGGCAAATGGACGTTGAATATCTCGGTGCACTCACTGGGGCCAGCCTCTTGCCTGTTCCACAAGAAGCTGTCATATCAAATTTTTGTCCTGACTCCATGGGCACTTTGATTCCTAAACCTTTCTGAGAAACCTAATCTGAAATCAAAGTCAAGTTTCTTAGATGTGGTCAGACAAGGTCACATTTAAAACAGTTCAGTGAACTTGCAGATCAAAGTTGAAAGGTAATTCCTCCCTCCCCAAATTGGCACAGACTTACCTGCTAGCTTACCTTTCAGTTTCTAACGTGGCTTTTTCACCTCCTTCCCAACCGACTGGGAAAATGAGAGTTTATCCTCTGAAAAATGGTAGAAGAGTTCCTTTAAATCATTTAATTAGGAAATGGGACACAGTTGTATTTTGGAAATGCACCTTTATCCAAATCAGTGAATCACAAGGCATATTGTTAAAGAAATATCTTGATCAGAGATTGCATGAAGTGAAATGTGCAACAGGAATCCTTACGAATTCATAGTAGGACTTAAAATCAGAATTTTGTGGTAATTTTTGGTTCATTGGCTTTATTTTTGGCCTAAAGTGTCAGGATTTGCCCACACTCTTGAGTGACCCAAAATACTCTCCAGGATTGCTCCTATAATGCTGTGGACGGTTTTTTTCTCCCCCCCAGTGCTACCTTCTTGCTATGCGGAACCTTGAGATATGACCTAGAATGGCTCTGGTAAAGGGCGGGATGGTGGCTCGCGTTAGATACGATCTTAACATCTCACGACTCAGGTTTTTATCAAAGTCCATGTGATTAAAAAAAAAAAAAAAACCACACACACAACAACAACCTTGCCATTGCTTTATATTTCAGTGTTCTGTCTCTTGTGGTCGAGGGCATAAGCAACGAAATGTTTACTGCATGGCAAAGGATGGAAGCCATTTAGAAAGTGATTACTGTAAACACCTTGCTAAGCCAAATGGGCACAGAAAGTGCAGAGGAGGAAGATGCCCCAAATGGAAGGCTGGCGCCTGGAGTCAGGTGAGCAATGCTTCTCCTTACGACTGCTTCCTTCTTACCTTCCGCCACATGGCCAACACCAGAGTGTCGGTTGTGTTTCTCTGCACAGTTTTGGTTTTGCAGAGGGGAGCTTGGGGAAGGGAACACTATGTCAGCATACTTGTTAGTGGGGAGACCTTGGGCCAGTGGATTCAGCCCTTGGTGCCATGCACAACGCCACAGTAGGATGGTTGTGAGGGTGAATTCTAAGTGGTAGTGGATGTAGGTGTTAGACATCGAGCACAGAGTGGCCCTTCAGTACTTTGCTGATGGCATTTTTTAATATCCTCCATCACTTAAACAACCACTAACTCAGACTGCGGTAAGCTTGACTCTGACCACCTGGCGGTAATTGGGTCTGAATTGAGATGCTTAAAAAAAGGGCTATCAGTATGAAGTATTAGTGAATATGTCTCTGCTCATTTGCTTCTGGACAACAGAGGTGGGGGACAAAAGGAAAAGTGCTCTCGCATTTTCTAGCCAGGCAACCTTGGGTGATCTGTTTAACCTTCCCGAGCCTACTTCATATAGCTCTTCTGAGGATTTGATGCAATAATGAATGCCGAGTACTTAGTTCAGAGGTCTTAAATCTAAGAGGTTCTCAGGAGAAATATTTTGTTTGGATGAATGTGATGTGTCTACCGGACGGGGAAGGGGGGTGAGTTCCCAAGAAACCAATTACAGTCAGAGTCCACTAATTCTAAACATTTTGGTAATCTAGACAGGAGCTGGGTAAGAGAGTTTCCCTGTTGTATTCAACAAGGAACTTTCAGAAGCTTCTGTTTACCTATGAACAATTGATGTGTGAACCAAAGTCTCTCACACGTAAGCCTTGAAGCTGATCTCTTCACTCTACACTTGTACATTCTCTCAGCTTGGTTGAAGGTGCTTGCTTAAAAATAATAAGGTGCAGTTTTATATATTCTGTATTTAATGCTGCTCTTCCCCTCTGTTGATTTTGGCCTCTTTGAGCTTTCACTGAATTTGTGATTCTCCCGTGCAGCCGAGAATCATACAGATGCTCCTAAGAATCAATAGGAAAGTAGGTTCCAGGTTGGCAGGCTCGAGATTTGGTTCTTTCAGAGCCTGGATCTTGATTGCCTGGAGCCTCAGAGAAGCTTTGGATAGCTGTGTTAACATGGGGAGGAGTTGGGAATTCTTCATTTCGACATGACTAATGGAAAATTCCTCTAGAAATGTGAATTTTTCTCAAATGCTCTGAGCTGGCATCATTGTCCCACATGCCGCTCCCTCCCCCCTCCCAGCCATACGCCACTTAACAGAAACGTAAAACATGACCTGCATCATTCCCTAGCAGAGTAGCCTTGTCCTTTGCAAGGCCTCTCTCATTAACGATCATGTGTGTTTTTGTTTCTGTTTTAATTCAACAATCAAAGCTTCAGTGTCCAACCAGAGCGAGTTCCTCCTCTGGCTTCCCTAAGGGATCAGATTTCAAGGCAGTGTTTCATATTGGTCATCCTTAATGGTTTGTCTAAGTGACGGCTGTCATCTGTAACTTCCAGCCCTTTTATTTGGGGAGCTATTCAATTCATGTATAAGCCCGCAGCTAACATTATTGAAGATACTGCACTAATTAGCTTGTCCTCTTGTAGACTTTCATTCTCTGTTGCTTTTCTTTGTGTTCCTTGGCCTCTACTTATCTATTTGCATCATGTGCTGAATATTAAGTTTGGAGCATGGAAATGATGCTCATTTTATAGGCCAATTTATTCAATATAGAGACGATTAAAAGAATCTTTCACTCTTTATTGGTAAACACAGGGTGAGTTTTAGTCCAGTATTCTGTGATCTGGTTGGGAAGTCTAAAATTGCTTACAAATCTGGGATGATTAGGTTTGAACCCTGGGGTGGGGTTTTGAACATAAGGTAATAGGATTATCAGAATGCCTCCCTAGAAAAGACTGCACCTGTTCAAAATGATTGCTTAAAACAGTCTAGTCAACTTTGTAGAAAATGCAAGTAAACACAGTTATGTAATGGTCTGTGGCTAGCTTTGTAATGCCCTGATTTGATTTGTAGAAATGAATTATAAAAGCAGGCAAGACAAGGTGCTGCATGGGCAAAATCTAATTTATGCAATGTAGAAGTATGCCTGAAAATAATCAGATGCAGTGGTTAATGGAGAAAGACGGTCTGCATGGTTAAAGATTATTGGCTTACTAATGATCCATGGTAAACAGAAATATCCCTAAGGCAGTGATATTGAAGCAAGAGTAATGATTATCCATTTGCAACAATGTTTAGAAGATTTTATATCTATCTGGTCCTTCTGTTTTCTGCTGGTACTATACTCTAGTCATCTCCTGTTCACGGTAGGAAGAAGAATTAGCTCCATTTCTCATCATATTATCTGAAGATAATAGGACGTATAGAATATCGGGCTGTGTTGATCTTCATAGTCTCGCCCTCGAAATTGGTGCTATGAGATTTAAAGTGGAATGTTTCATTTCTACATCTTTTGAAAATCTTGAGTTTGTCGAGGAAATTTTTCCAATAAAAGGAAAGCTTATATTGGAAAACATCCTCATTAAAATTTTAAAACATTTTTTAGAAGTTCACATTCAATTTGTTTAGATGCTTTTGATCAAGAGATAAGGGATACCCATGAAATTTTAACTCAAAAATCGGCAGCAAATTCTTGATTCAGTTTGATACATGTGAAGACTCTGTAGTCCCATGATACAGAACCATTCCAGAGTAAAAATTGTTTAATCCATTCCTATAGAAAGATGTTTTTTTTTTTAAATGAAGGTCAGAAATAAAAAGAATAAATAATCAGAAAAAAAGTAACACTTCATCATCACTTGTCAACCATGAATTCACTCGGTCGATTCATTTCTCAGTCCTGAGATGCATGTCTTTTTCACACTTGAACCCCTCTGTGCTGAGAATGGATCTAACAACCAATGGAATGCCACGATTTAATTAAAATAGCCCTTTTTTCCTTAGTGATACAAAATGTAGTGCCTTGCTTGCCGCCAGTGGTGTCTTCGATTGAGGGAAATAATTAAATTTTAAAAGCTCTTCACTGCTAATGCCAAAAGGGAAGCTGGCAAATTGCATGATGAATCCACCAGCCATTGTTGGTTAGAACTTTTCTTACAATTACAGCTTGGTTGTGGTGTCTGATTCTGAAGTATTCTGCTAGTGTTTAATGCAGAAACATGGCAAATGTGTAGCTTGCGTCCTTTGAGAAATCAAGGAAACCATATGCACATAGTCAGTGATGAGAAAGAGAGTCGCTTGAGGGCTTTGTGCTCTCCGTTATTTCGTTTGTATTTGAACTGTAAGCACTGATGTCGACTTGTTTGAATACAGGCCTCTCACCCACACTCTTGCTGATGTAGTATAAAAGACTGCACCCTATTAGCACCGTATTTTAAAACTGGAAGCCACATTCTGACCCAGAGTAGCCATGGCACATTGCCTAGGGCAGAATTCACTTTGACTGCTTTATGTTTTTGTTTTTGCTGGAGTTGATTATCTCTGTTCTTTGCCATCTTTGTGCAGGATCTCTCTAAAATGTTTATCAGCAAGTATAAAAGACACCTGTCAAATGCTAAGCATGCAGCTCAGCTCTCAACTAGGGGTGATTTTATACTCTTGGGACATTTGGCAATGTTGGTTGTCACAAGTGGGTGGAGGAGGGGAGATACGGCTGGCATTAAATGGGTAGAGTCCAGGGAAGCTGCTAAACTTCCTACAGCAGCTATAGGACAGCTCCAGGCAATAAAGAACTATTGGGTTGAGAAACCCCAGTATAGAGTCTGGCACATAGTAAGTGCTTAGTAAAAGGTTGCTATTATTATTGGGACTCTTATTTATCCAAGTTGGTTCATATACTTATTTTTCAAGCTAGTCGCTCCTCTAAATAACATCACCACCATAATTGCAGCAATAGTACTGGGAAAAAAGTATGTAAAATACTTTTCCAGTTTTCAAGTGTATATTATGATTCCCCACCCATCGGAAGTTGCAAGGAGATTCATTTTATCCGTGGAAATAGGCGTCGAAGTCCCCCTGTAAGCTGGGGAGTTCTGCATGCTAGCATTGCACAGTAGGGAGGACAGAGAGATGAAACACGACTCCCAGCTCAGGAGTTCAGAACTAAAAACATCTCCTTTCAAACCTGCACATTCCATGCTGGAATGACAGCAGGGGGAAACACATTAATAGAGACTGCTCAGCCTTTTTCCCCTGCACACTAACTAGAAGATGCACTGAATAGAACAAGAATTAAGCACACACATGTGCACACACCACCACCCTCGCCACCTCCAAGGTCATGCAGCGGTCTCTCTGATGCTGTTTTATTCATGGGCTTTCCATACAAATCTCTCAGAATTCGCCAAGCAAGCATGGCCAGCTCTGTATGCAAATTGTTGCCTCCCTTGCGACAGCACAGGAAGAAAGTTAAACTTAGAGAACTAACCCTGATGCCATGTACTTCATTTTGAACAGAGATGACTGTAAATGCGGTGTTCAGAGGGGAGGGCAAAGCTCAGACCTTACGTGCACTTAAGTCACAGCAAAACCTTTCTTTCTTTCCAAGCTGGCTTTGACATTACAAAAATCACAAGCCACCACGGCATACTCTATCACTGAACCTTCCTGTGTCTTTATTTGCCTTTTGAGAAATTGTTGAACACTGGAGGAAGTGATTTTTGGTTAATGTTTGAATACTTAGGGCTCTTAATACCTTGCCTTCATTGAACCATAAGTAATTTACTCAATAACAATAACATCAAAAAGAGGTTTCATTTACTTAGAGCTCGGATAGTACACACTCTGAAAGTCTTTAACGTTTGTTCCTTTTTCTTTAGATTATTAAAACATTGTGAGATTTTGAATATATATCAGCCCTATGCCAGGCTCAAATTTGTTTACCTAATTATTCTTAGTCTTTCTTTGTATTTCCATTTCGATACACTGTTCTGGGAGTGTCCAGAGACATATATATATATATATATATATATATATATATATATATATATATATATATTCCCAAATATATATATATTCCCAAATTCAAGTAGCCAAAGGGTTTTTTAGTTGTCAGTGTTTGTTGTCAATGATGATGATGTTGGAACATTTCTGTCATTCACGTAGTGACTCCCCCAAGTTATAGTTCATTTCATTTCCAGGGTAATCAATGGGAAATATTATACATGTAACTCCCATGAACATTAGATGGTCATTCTCTGTAGACAAGGCCATCACTTGTCTTTAGGAACCCTCCCATTCTACCCAGGACATAATGACTTTAAAAGTCTGGTTTCTTCTGGGTCACAAACTCATTCAATCCAATTAATACAATTAAAGCCAAACAATAGTAACTATGTTGCCTCAAAATAATTTCCTTCTCTTCAGCTAGCTTTGATGTGAACGTTCGAGCTCCTGCCTGGCATAGACTCATCTGAAATGATATGATTTCCCCAGATGCCCTCTAAATAGTATCAACTCTTTTCTTAAAATCTGAAATGAAAATAAAATTAATATTCAGCAGAATCCACTGGGGGTGCTTCTCGCTAGTAAATTCCCATTAACCTCAGAGCGAGATGAATCCTGCTGCAGGTTAATTGGTCAAGAATACTTTCTAATTGAAAAGATTGTGATTCTATTCTCTAAGACTTCCTCTCAGAAATACGGCGGCTATAATGTATGTTGAACTTGTTTTCTCAACGCCAGACAAATTAATGGAGGCTGAGCTATTGCAGAAACTTGGTAACAATTTTAAATGGCTCAATGTAATAATATGCTGTTCTTTCCAAGCAAATGTTGCCTGTAGTTTCTAACTGTCAAAACCTTAATAATGACAATAATTCTTGGCCTGCCCATAAGTGAGATTATGAAACCCAGCAATGAGGAAACCATTAAAAAATTAATTTAAAGGAAAGTTAATTGCAGACTTAATATGGTGTTTTGCAACTTGGTCAACAAAATGTTTCAGCCTGATTAACAGTATTTTTCAAGGGCTGGAAACATGATGCCCGCCTGAGGAAATGGTTTTTCCTTGTCAGCTTTTATTCTCCATATATTCATCTGAGGTTGTAAGTAGGCTCTAATACTTCTGTGAATTCAGTAGTTTAAAAAAAAAAAAAATTTCCTCTGTCTCCAGGAATAAGAGCAAGGAAAGGAAGCGATGGAGAAAAGAATTCTACTTATAAGGCCCTAAAAGCTTTTGGGATTTACTCTCCTTGGGTTATACTTTTAATCTGCCAAGAAATTCTTCTTGTACAATAGCACTGTGTCTCCAAATTTCAAGAACTTCCAGTCCTCTGGGATAGAAATCATCCGGGGTTTTTATTTCACATGGCAGCACTATTTATTTTGAGGTTGTATTAAATGTTTCATAATGATCTCTCCCAGCCTCATTCCATCTCCAAGAGTTTGGATAATGTTAGATTCCCCAAGACTCGAATACGTGTCTCGCTCACCAGCCTTGAAAGGCAGTTAACTTTGCAGATTTCAGACATTATCTTGGGTCCCTTTCATTGGAAATTAGAAAGCTGTGTAATAGTGGTGAAAGTCACTGGATTAGGAGTGCATTCCCCATGCCTGTGACCCTCTCCACCCCTGCCACACACACACACACACACACACACACACACACACACACACACACACACACCTCCCCACCAAATGACCCAAAGCTCCCACTTACACGGTCTTTCTTCTTAGTGCTCTGTGTCCTGCGGCCAAGGCACACGGCGGAGAAGTGTGGGCTGTCAGATGGGAGCACACAGAATAGCCAGAGAGTCCGAGTGCAACCCGTACACCAGACCGGAGTCGGAGCGTGTCTGCCAAGCCCCGCCGTGTCCTCTCTATGCGTGGAGGGCCGAGGAATGGCAAGAAGTAAGTAGAGCCATGAAGTGGGCACTTGCCAGGCATTTCGCTTAACCCCCTTGCAGTCATCACATCCGTTACCCTGAAATGACTTCAAGCACGGTGACAAGGCTGGCTCTTTCCCAGAAGGTTTGCTGTCAAGACGGTGAGCAGTTTGCTCCGACCAGGGTGGGAGAGCTCCTCCTTTTTATGCAGTTCCTACGTCTGTGTTCTTGAATGTTCCAAGTCGGGCTGCCTCCAGAAAAACTGTATCAGGCCTTGGGCCAAACGCATACAGCTATCTTGCACAAAAGGAGGGGGAGAGAGAGGACATATTTTCGATACATCTATCCCAACTTGGTCATTCTGTATTAGTTCCAAGAGCCACCAGGCATACTCCAGGTAGGACCTGCTCTGCGTGTGTCTCCTTTCGTGACTTTGGCTGTCAAGTCGAAGACAGGCCCTCTTGTGAAGCTCTGATTAATTAGTGAAGCATTTCCAACATTTAAAAAAAAATGATGGAATCTGAAAAACAGCTCAGTTAATGCAGAGATAGATAGACCTGTTTTTCTCCCTCTCCAAGTTAATGTTTAGTTAAAGAAAACACTGTGTGTCCCTGGAGAAAAGTCTGGCGAGAGAAGGTAAGACTTTAGGAGGAGGGAACCTCTGGTTCCAGAAGAGAATACGTAGTAGAAAGAGGGGAAAGAGTATAAGAAAGCAAAACTGCAACCACTGACGTTAGAATGAAATAAAAAGTACATGCTCTCAACGGTTTAGAGATATGAATAATAAGACAGGAATTTCCCACCAGGAATGGTTTTTAGAACAGGGAGAAACAGTGGCTGGCTCAGAGCTTTATGTTCATCCCCTCGCTTAATCTTTTGAAGCACGAGGCAAAGTGGTGTCATTATTATCATCCCATTTTGCAGTCAAGGAAACTGAGTTCTGAGAGCCAATGTTGCTTGTCCCCGTGTCACACGCCCAGCAAGTAGAAGGAGCAAGACCTGATCCTAAATGCAAACCATTCCGAGATACTACCACTGCATTTTTAAAAAAGTTTACGCAAGTGCTCCTAGCAATACCACTTTATTTTTTTTCCAGGTGTATAAAGATATAATTGGCATATAATATTGTATTTACTTTAGGTGAAAACATGATGAATTATATATCTATTATAAAATAATTACCACGGTAAGTTATTGTTAATAATAACTGTTATAGTTAACATCTATCACCTCACGTAGTTACAGATTTTTTTTCTGGTGATGAGAACTTTTAAGATCTACCCTCTTGGCAACTTTTAAATATATGAAACAGTTATTGTTAATTATAGTCATTCTGCTAGATCCCCAGGACTTATTTCTTTTATAGCTGGAAGTTTATACCTTTTGACCCCCTTCACCCAATCACCTAGCCCCTACCCATCACCTCTGGCAACACCAATCTGTTCTCTGTATCTATAGGTTTGATTAAGATTCCATATATAACTGAGATCATACAATATTTGTCTTTCCTTGTCTGATCTAGATCACTCAGCACAATGCCCTCAAGGTCCATCCATAATGTCACAGGTGGCAGGATTTCCTTCTTTTTATGGCTATTATATTCCTGTGTGTGTGTGTGTGTGTGTATACATTTTTTTAAATTCATGCACCCATCGATGGACACTTAAGTTGCTTCCATGTCTTGGCTATTGTAAATAATGCTGCAGTGAACATGGGTGTGGGGGGAGCAGATATCTTTTCAAGTTAGTGATTTTATTTCCTCCAGAGAAATACCCAGAAGTGGAATTGCAAGATGATATGGTAGTTCTGTTTTTAATTTTTTTTAAGATTTTATTTATTTATTTGAGAAAGAGAGAAAGAGCACAGAGGGAGAGGGAGAAGCAGACTCACCGCTGAGCAGAGAGCCCAAGGTGGGGCTCGATCCCAGGACCCTGAGTTCATGACCTGAGCTGAAGGCAGATGCTTAACCGACTCAGCCATCCAGGTGTCCCCTATTTTTAATTTTTTGAGGAAACTCCATACTGTTTTCCATAGAGAATGCACTAATTTACATCCCCACCCACAGTGCGCAGGGGTTCCCTTTTCTCCAGACCCTCGCCAACACTTGCCGTCTTTTGCTATTAGCCATTCTAGCAGGTGTGAGACGGTATCTCATTGTGGTTTTGATGTGCGTTTCCCTGATGATTAGCAATGGTGAGCATCTTTTCATATATCTGTTGGCCATTTGTATGTCTTCTTTTGAGAAATATCTGGTCAGGTACTTTGCCCATTTTTAGTTTGATGTAGTCCCACTTGTTTATTTTTGCCCTTAATGCCTTTGCACTTGGTGTCACATTCAAAACAATTATAGCTAAGACTAATGTCAGGAATCTTACCTCTTATGTTTTCTTCCAGTAGCTTTATATTTTCAGATCTTTCCAGTTCAAGTCTTTAATCCACTGTGAGTTCATTTCTGCGTATGGTGTAAGGTAGGAGTCCAGTTTCATTCTTTTGCGTGTGACTGTCCATTTTCCCCAACACCATTTTTTTTTTAAAGATTTTATTTATTTACTTGAGACAGAGAGAATGAGAGACAGAGAGCATGAAAGGGAGGAGGGTCAGAGGGAGAAGCAGACTCCCTGCCGAGCAGGGAGCCTGATGCGGGACTCGATCCAGGGACTCCAGGATCATGACCTGAGCCGAAGGCAGTCGCTTAACCAACTGAGCCACCCAGGCGCCCTCCCCAACACCATTTATGGAAGAGACCGGCTTTTCCCCATTGTGTATTCTTGGCTTCTTTATCGTAAATGAATTAACCATATCTGTGTGACTTGATTTCTGGACTCTCTATTCTGTTTCATTGATCTATGTGTCCTTTTTTATGCCAATACCATTCTGTTTTAATCACTACAATTTTATAACATAGTTTGAAATCAGGGAGTGTGATGCCTGAGCTTTGTTCTTCTTTCTCAAGATTGCTTTAGCTATTCTGGGTCTTTTGTGGTTCCATACAAATTTTAGGATTGTTTCTTTTATTTCTGTGAAAAATGCCTTTGGAATTTTGATAAAGATCGCATTAAATCTATAGATTGCTTTGGGTAATGGGGACATTTTCACAATACTAATTATTCCAGCCCGTGAGCACAGAATATCTTTTCATTTATTTGTGTCATTTTCAATTTCTTTTATCAGTGTCCTAGAGCTTTCAATGTACAGGTCTTACACCTCCTTGGTTAAATTTATCCATAGGTGTTTTGTGTTTTTTGATGCAATGTTGAATGGGATTGTGTGGATCAACCCATGTGGGGATCAGCCTTCCGGCCCCGTCCTTCCCTCTCCCTCACCCTCCTGATGGATTGGATCCACTGTTTGCAGTCATCTCTTTTCTTTAGGACTTTTACTCCCTCTATCTACTCACGTTTTGCTTGTTTTCTCTATGTTTTTTACTTCCGCCAGACGATGGTGGGGAGGAATGGCTAAAGTAGTTAAATTTCAAATTAATTACACTGGGCCACACAAGTTATTGGGAGCCGCAGAGGCTGTGGAATTCTGCAGACCTGGTTCATATCCCCGGACTGTGACTTTTTAGCCATGTGACTTTAGAACAAGGATTCTTGATTTTTTGGATCCTTGGGTTTGCCACCTGTAGAATGGGGATAATAATGATGCAGAGTTGTTCTGAGAAGTTTAGAGATGGCAGAGTGGCTTGGAGATTGATAATATCAGATATGGAAGGAAGAAAAGGCCCCCTGATCTCTGTCTCTCTCAATGTTACCTCTTGATTCTTTTTGTAGTCTTGTTTCAGACCCACCACTGCTGGCTTCCTCCCTCTCCCTCTCCCTCTTCATCTTGTGCCAGACTCCACTCTGTGTAACTCTTCCAAGGAACAGAAAGTTAAGAGAGTGTTCCAAAATGAATCTAAGCTGACTGCTCAAGCTCTAGCCAACTTTTGAAAATGCTAGAGCCAATCAGGGAAATGCAAGCTCCATTTACAATTCCTTCCGAATTCCGAAGAGTAGAAACCTTGCCAAATATGCACTGAGGAAGTCCCTTCTCTGATCTTACAAGATAGGCCTAGAAGTGTACATCTTTGCATGCCCTATGCAGATGGATCTTTTAAAACCCTTCCTCAAATATTGCCAGCAAGCTCCACGTCAGAGCAGAACACCTACGGAGATGGCCTGACCTGTGGCCATACTTGAAAGGGAGAGGTTAACCATTCTCACAAAGACAAAAGCATCTTCCGGCTGTGAGTAAAGCAGATTCTAATAGTTACCCTTCCGCAACCAGTCTTTCTCACCTGCCTGAACCCAAAGTGCAAAGTTTGAGAAGGGGGGACCTGGGTGGTAAGAGAGGGTAGAGCACTAGGGGGCACCCTCACTTGACACCGAATTGGCCAAGTGAGGCTCAGGGCAGCGGGAGGAGGGACAAGACCCATCAAAAACCCTTTGTTCCTCCTGTGCAGAGCATGCTGGGGGCCCTTTTAGAATGTCCTCACAGCAACTAGACTTAGAGTGAGTGTCCAGAGCAGCGGCTGGATCCCAAGTCTTGACTGCCTGTGGGCAGTTCCTGTGTATGCCTAGCAAAGCCCTTGTTTAAGTATTCATTGTCCCTACTTGAACGATCCCAGGTATCCTTGTTAAACAGCCTGTTGGGTAGAACAGCAGCCTTCAGACCCCCCTCAGTCGCAGCACTCACCCTCCTCTCTTCCTCCTACCTCCGCACCCACTCACTCCCTCTGCTACATCTTTCCTGACACCTACTTTGCACAGACATGTGTCTTGACTTTCTTGCCCTCCACGAGTGACACCTTGAGCTTGTGTCGATGAGGATGCCAAGGCCCAGCCTCAGAGCTGAGGCCCACTGGATGGGATGTGTGGGATGGCTCCTACCCCAATACAGGAAGTTCTCTTCTTGGCAGTCCTTGGCAAGCACTTCAGAGCACTTGTTTGCTTTTTGAGTGTGCATTTTTCTCTTTTGCTTCCCTTCTGTGAA